AAAAAAATATCAGTTAAATCCAAACAAGTGAAATTGTATTAAAATCAGAGAGAAACTTTTTTTATTATACGCGGGTAAATAAATGGATGTGTATGTTTGTTGTTCGCAAACTCTGCCCTGAAGATGGGTTGCTTTCCTTCCATCCTCGATCTGACGTTCTCGTCGAGGGATGACAGGATTTGCAGCAAGGTACCTCTGGATATTGCTTTAAACTCCACACCGTTATCATGTTGTATTACTTTCTTATCTATAAAATACAATTGGTTATCACATTAACCACTACATATAGATTAACGATTTTCTTTCCCTGTATCAAAATGTCAATTTTGATTATCGGGACTTTAAGCCACACTTTGTTGTTTTTTAATAACCCTAACGTGGCAAACTTGGATATTTCAAGAACGAAAATAAACAAACGAAAAGCCGTCATTCTCTTATTAAGGAAAAGGGTATGTTGATAAAAGAGACTGAAGAAAAAGTATAGGATGTGCAAGCAGGGTATAAAAAAGGAATGGGGTGCTTGGATCAGGTATTTTCCTTACGATGTTGTCGAAGTTTCTGGCGAAAGGCCAAAGAGTTTTCCGTAGTTATCTAGTTGGAAAAAGCTTAGTGTCAGAATGAACAATGATTAGCGTTGTCTATGTATGGCTTTAGCGTCCAGTTGATTCTAGCATTGGAATTCCTTTATAGACTCTATGGCATGCGTCAGAATCATAAAGCCTGCACAGGTTGGCTACCTATCGAGAAGGGTTTCAAACAGGGTTGTGTTGCCTCCCCGTGGCTGTTTGACCCGTTCGTGGACAATTGTCTGAAAGATATATGAGAATTTTCTCCTATACGCTGACGACTATATGGGAGAAGAAGCTAGTGGTGAAAATGGTAGTAAAAGCTAAACAGTAACCTTACTAAAATTATAGCTTTAGTATATAATTACATTTTAGTTCCCTGCTTATAATTTATACATATTTAGTAAATTACCTTGGGTACCAAAGATTTTAGAAAACGCAGCATAAGCGTCACTCGATATCAAACACCATACAATGAGAAAAACGAACGTTCGATCCATTGAACTCTGCAATCTATACAACAACATTCGTTTTTTACATTGATTACATTTTACAGCAATCCAATACGTTACTTTGTTTAAATAGCCTTTTGTTTCAAGAGTAGAACAAAATGTAGACATCGCCGCGATTTAGTCCAAGAGCGTTGCATGCTTGAGAAGGCTCCATTCCAAGCATTGTTTCTTAAGTGGGGATGAACACTAAGATCCTGATGTCAATGTAATTACGGAAATTGCACGCACCCAAAAATCAGACCACCTAATTGTCCATATTATTATTACCTCTTAAGAACCCAAGAGTGTCAGCTCCTTAAAAGAGAATGTAAGAAGTGTTATTGGACCAGTGTCCAATAATAAACATGTTTTTAGTGAATTAGGTTAGTTTTAAAATACTAATTAGTTTTAAGTTAGGCTAAATCGTAATGTCGAATGATCTAGTGAAGGGACTTTTTTTAAAAAAACCTCTTGGGAATAGAGTGGTTCACAAAAAAATAAAATTTCTTCCCGACACGAACACGATTACGTTAGTAATGTCACAAAGCAGGGTAAAGCTAAGTTAGATTAGAGTAAAAGACCTTCACCGAGGAAGTCTATGGCCCTTACTTCGTTCTTCGCTCACTCCAGCAAGCTTCCGTCCTGCCTTTCAAGCTATTGGCCACCCCGCGACGGTTCAAGCCGAAGTTGGAGTCTCACAGGATAGGCCCTTTAGGGAAAAGCCCATTTCCGGCAAAGCCAGGCCAACAGCGAGATTCCTTTAAAAACCCTTGCCCTTGTGACATTTCATATTTTATTAATCACCTTGAAATTATTTATATCAAACGTATTTTCCGATTCAAGGGCATATTAATTAGTTTTGTAACTACAGTTCAAAATTTTTTTCTCTTTCCTGTATGTAGACTAAAAAACATAAATATTTTTAAGTCAACGGGAAGTTTTTAAAAATCGACTCAATTTTTACTACTAGAGATTGATATTTCAGTCCATTTCTCTTAAATACTTTTCAATTACCGATCGATGGAACGTTTTTGTAAACTATCTTTGAATTGGACACATCGAATTTTGACATAATTTATCAAAATCAAAAAATCAAAATCAAAATACGTTTATTCAATTTAGATGCTTCTTAGAGCATGCTTATGAATGTCAACAACGTTTACAAAATTCACGAAAGAGCAAGACTACGCCATCATATCATTGTGACAATCTAAATTTGCGAAAATCTGGATTAGAAATAATTTTAGATTATAGATCAAGTATAGAAAGCGGCCGTATGTGTGACAGAATATGCGAACTTTAGATTGTACTACATATGTATAATTACATATTTTAAATTTTTTCATCGATATTTTACCGTTATTTTTAATTCGAAAATAAAACTAAGGTTCAATATTTAATATTTTATTCCATTCAAAAATCGCAATTCATTTATATTGACTAAATTAAAAATTACAAATGCTATAGATTAATAATATATACACGGTTGACAAAATAAATGCGTACGGCATTTTACCTTTTTACAAATTTACTACAATCATTATAACTGTATAAAGTATTAAGCAAACAATAATTATTTATGATATATTTTACAATCTTAAAATATTTTGTAAATTAGTAATAAAATCTAATCTACAGCCAGCCATGGACACAATTAAAATTCTGTTCGTAATTAAAAGTTTGTACTTCACGAGTTGAACAAATTATAAAGGGTCCCAATACATTTGCATTAAAAGTTTTGTACGTAACCAGGAGCGAATTTACTAACAATTAATACACATTAACCTCCACTATTAATAAGGGAAATAAGTATTCACATTTATAAGTGCTTTTCATACCAAAAAGTGCGCAATATTTTCCCATACTACAACAACTTACGTACCGAGACTTAAGGCGATATTCTGAAACTTAGCGCGAACTCGTGTGTGTCAAAATCCAATACATTATTGACATTCGGGAGTCAGACTTAACGCTAGTCTCGTTTCTGAATCTTCAAATATAAACGTTTCGGGTGTGTTAAAAGCATTGAAAACAAATAAAAACTAGTAATGTGTATAGAATAAAAAATTTGATTTTTAATCATTAATTGGCGCTCACAACGTGCAATGTATAAAATATTTTGGTTTACAATTTTTATAAGAGAAAATATTAATACTGACGAAAGGTTTGTAAAATGCAAAAACACATTTAAAACTACATTAATAACAAAATATTTACAAACTGCAATATCTACAATCTCATTTTCTAATGGCACTAACCTATAACCATAATACGCAAATAAACCACTTCAGAAAACGAAAACAATAAAAAATTGCCAAAAATGGCTTAAAAGTTTAAAAGTAATTTTCGCAACTGAAACTCTAAAAATATTTCTATGGGGTTCACTATCGCTTTGGTTCGAAAATATAATCTAAACTAGTTATGAATAAGTAGTATTTTTTCTAGAGAAAACAAATGACAACTGTGCTGGTAATAGTTGAGATCACTAACACTATAAATTACTTTAGCACTTCTACTAACAAATGTCTAAATGTAAAATAATCCAATAATCGTCTTTCATAATAATGTAAAAGTTATTTTTCGAATGTCAGTCGGCTAGGAATTTAGTGGCATTGTGTCATAATTTTATGATTTTATTTAAAAAAATATTTCGATTGCTAAAATTTTGGTTTGTTTAGTGTATATAGCTGTCACTCCGAAATAATATGGGTCCACTGAAAATCAGTGTTGCTGGTGACAATTTAAAGCTGTTGGACCCATTTTTAATTAAAGTGATTGTGTTAGTATTTATTTTATATATGTGTGTGTGCTATAATCAAATAAACGTGTTTTTTGTATATCGTATTTTTATCGTTTTCGTTTTCAAAAGAAAATTATACGCATTAAATAATACTAAATAATATCGACACATCTACTGCCGATTTTGTAAAAAATTTCAATTCGTTATTAAAAAGGCGTTATTATATTTTGAATAAGGCACAATCGTAGGAATTAACTATACTGTATACGTTATGCATCTCTTTTCTACACAGGGTAAACCCAATTAGACAGAAACAGATAAGTCTATAATAGTTAAAAAATTGTAATATTGATTGATATAAAATAGTTGAAGGAAAGAAGGTGACCGATTCGAATAAAATCACACTTTTTTCCGTGTGATACATTTACTACACCTACGATGAAAACACAATTATTTAAAAGAATCTTTAATTTTTTAAATTGCCAGTATTAATGTGGACTTCGCCGAGATCAAAAACTTTTTTTGTCAGGTCGAAAAGAAATTACGTAAACAATGAACAATCGCATATTTATAAATTTTCAGACATTAATTTTCATGTAACTTTGACGCATTTTCCGAGGTGTAGAATATGCGACTATTTTTCTAAATTCTCACTTGGCACTATGATATATATCTGCCTTAAATAAAATAGGTAAAATAAAGTATTAAATGTTATCACAGTTTTGTAGAAATCGCACATGCATTAATTTCAGAATAAATAATTTAAATTATTAAAAGTATTTAATTTATTAAACCACGTTTTATTAAGGCACATAATTAATTTCGACCAACGATTTATCAAATTACAATATTAATTATGCATAATTCATGTTCCCAAATCATCTATTGGGGCATGGAGCAGACACATTTCTGTGTTAAATATTTAGAAAATATCTCTATGGTCCGTATGCTAGAACGTCAATCAAAATTTAATTTCAAATTAAATCTTATTTCCAGAGCTCTCAAACAGTTTTTTCTATATGAAGTTTGACCGATAAGACTATTAATGGTACGGCAATGGCTTTTAACCGTTAGTTAAAACTATTTATCCTACGACAGTAAATAGTTCCAAATCTGACCACTAGATGGCGCTGTAAAACAGCATACAAAAATTTAACGTTAACTCACTTCGTTGTCTTAAGAATTCTGTACATTGCTATCCAACTACGCAATTTCGGTCTGTGTGTTTTTCCCGGATAAACTCTTAATTCTTCCAGAGAAATAATCCTCAATTTCTTGCAGTGTTTTGCCTTTTGTCTCTGGTAAAAATACATAGAAGAACGCGGTGCCTGAAAACATATATTTACTTAATAGCGACTACAAATAAATAGTTATAAAATGTGTTTTTATATATAATCTATATACAAACATATATATAATAGATAATACCAACAATACCTGACCAAATTAAACGTTCTTACGAACTGTTCAGCGTGGTCCTAATTTTAAGTACGTACCAGCAAGTGATAAAGCTCCATAGAGGCCAAAAGTCCCATAGTCATTGAGCGAGTGCTTAAGTAGAGGGAATGTTTTGACCACAGTGAATATTGACATGTGAGCCACACATGTCGTCATACCACCGACTATGCCACGAACCTGCGACGGAAAGAGGTTAAAGAATGTGTTTACGATTTTCTCAAGATTATTGATAAATAAATAAATCAGTGGCGCTACAAGCTTTTTAGGTATGGGGCTCAGATTTCTGTATCTGTTTTATGATCATTTGTGAATATAATAGGCAAGTACGTGATCAGCCTCTTGTGCCTGACACACGCCGTCGACTTTTTGTGTCTAAGGCAAGCCGGTTTCCTCAAAATGTTTTCCTTCACCGTTCGAGCAAATGTTAAATGCGAACATAGAAAGTCCATTGGTGCACAGCCGGGTATGGAACTTACGACCACATATGAGATCGCACGCTAAAGCCACTAGGCCAACACTGCTCTACTAAGATTATAGTAGTAAAATTTAGTTAAAAATAAAACAAAAACATATTATTTAAAATAGAGCATATGGATCAATATTTCAAAAGAACAATTAATATCATAAGTTAAGGTAAAAAGTATACAATTAATTTTTTTTTAATGAATATAAATTACCTGCGTAGGATAGACCTCGCCAATCATAATCCAGGGTACGATGAGGAATCCCAGGGTACAGAATATCATGAAGAGGTATATACTGGCTACTGGGATCCACGAATATTGTGGTGGCAGATTATTCTCCTTCCAGTACTGCACGTAGTAGAGGTACACTGATAGTACTACCATTGAAGTACCGCACCCGAGAGCTGTAAAACATTGCAATAATCAAAATTATCGCTGCTAATTATTTCCTACATTTTATTATATTTCTTTCATTCTGGAATTTAGGACAGTTTCAATAGCATTGCGTTTTACATTTTTTTGGAAAAAACACTTAGTATCTGTTTTGTAAACATTTCTAATATGTAAGTAGATCAGACTTCTGTGCCAAACTTACTTCGACTGTTTGGGTCTAAGTCATGCCGATTTCCTCACGATTTTTTTCTTCGTCGAACGAGCGAGTATAAAATGTGCACGTAGAGAATCATATTGATATCAAAGCTGACTAGCACGCTGGAGGCACTAGGCTAACACCGCTCGCGTTGGTACGGTGAAGGAAAATATCGTGAGGAAATAAAATAAAATAAAAAATAAATAAAATATGTTTATTAAGGAACATAAGATACATGATATACTTATTCCACGTCATTAAATTTGAAATCGGCATACATTAGACCCAAACAGTCAACGAATCTATAGAAAAGAATGATCACTGGAACACAAATAAAATTGATTTCTAGAAGACTAGAGGGATTTGTAAAATAGAAACTGAACAAACTTAATAACGCACACGGCCTATCTTTGTATAAGACTTCAGAATACTCAAGCAATATTGAGCATTAATCTCACGCTTCTGTTTCTTGACAACCTATGTTTTTAAATATATCTTGAGTGTAGCCTATATTTAAATTATGTTTAAACTTAGATTTGTTACTATTTCTTGAACGATACTCCGCTGTTAAACTGACTCGACACTCAAGCGTAGTGGAGATTCGTTTATTAGATTAGATTTTCGGCGATTTCCCTCTTAGCCCTCCTACTGACATATAAAAACAAGATCATGTAAGAAATGCTACAGATTTTTCTAAATAATCGTTGACAAAAATTTATCATTTCTGTTTCTAGAAATTTGAGACGTTGCAAAAACCGAATACCTTTATCTACACATTCGCTACACTCTAATTTGGACTTCTACGCTCCACTTAAACAGAATAGCTAGAATCGGCTGCAGGGTTCAAACAATCTTGATATTTGTTTGGTACCCCCCTCCGTTTACTGGAAGGACATTCTGTTATAACTTTCTTAGCTTCTTTTGCTATGTTTTATAATTTGAGGTCATTTTTGTAATGACTGTTATGCACCTCAATGTTTGTGCACCTATTATCGAGGCCACAAATTGAAATAATTCGTGTAAATTTGTTTTTTCTTGTGTGGCTATAAAAAATGGTTTATACTTACACGATACAAACGTAAGAGGTCGCCTTCCGCAGCGTCTACACAAAATACATCCCACGACGGTGAATATTACTCGAAGCACTCCCATCGATATTGTTAAGGAATACTTGTCTAACGTTGCCCCGGATGCCTAAAACAAAAGATATTTAAAACGCCTGCATTTATTTTGGCAAAAGTTTTGACGACAACATCAAAAACGCTATACATATTTCAGACAATTACCATTGTTAGGCAGTTTGTGCGTACGCTTGTACGGCTCTGGGTGACTAGTGTACGCGTAATTTATTTTTTGTTGATGTTGATACTAAAATTAGTCTTAGTTGTACTTACTAATTAAAATTGGAATAAATTATTACTATTAAACCATAATTTATTCACATAAACTTTTCTTATAATATCTAGTGTAAGAAACCATTTCACAGTTTTTGAGTTCATCGCATTCATTCAGTTAGCGAGAGACTTTATTATACAATATGAAAGGATAAACCAAGTCTTATATGGAGACTAATATTAAACTGATTTCAAATACCTGTCAACGAAGGGAAAAAGCGTGGATAATCTCAACTACTGAGCCAATTTTAGATTGTTACCTAAGTTGCAATACTTTTGGACTCGATATGTTTTAGTTTGGAAGAAAATTGCGAACATACGTAAACACTTAAAAAGTGTAAATAGATCCTCATAATTATTAGCTAATTCCAATTGTTTTCACTTTCGTACTTATAATTATTGTATTTATTGTTATTTTAGTTGTGTTATTTTTTTAAATCTTATTTAAGGACTCTTCTAAAAAAGTATACATATTTTTGGTTTTATATCTAGTATTCGTGATGTATCTGTCATATTTTCTTTGTCGATAAGTAAATGAATAAATTACTAAAAATTTGAATAATACGTTATATTTATTTACCTCAAACACTTCGACGGCATAGAAAGTGATGGTATTAACACCACACCACTGGTAAATAAAGAAGTACAACGCCAATATTCCAAACGGCTTCAGAGTCGATGGCGCAAGTAACGCCTTTACTATTTCTCGAGTTGACTTCAACCTGTAACGAGGTAAGTAACATATATATAATATAATATGACAGACCTTAATGTATCTAGACACGACACCCAACAAGATTTCTAGCAAGCTAAACCTGGCCAGTGCGCCTGTATTCAACGAATGAAAAGCGAGTAATTATTCTTCACTCGCAATCGAATCCTATACGTCATATTCTATATTCCACCATTAACCACCGCGGTATACTTTATATAACAAATACGAAATCATTCAGATCAGAACTAGCGTTTAAGATACAGGCTAGGCCTAGTTTAAACGCTAGTGTACCATATAATTATTTTATGTACGAGGTTAACCAAAAATATTGAGAACACAACGTAATTGTAAGTACAAAATGTAATTGTTTTTCCGTCAAATAAAGTTATTTTTTTTTATCTTATCATACTAAACAAATATATAAATCATTTATATTCCTTTTTATTGTAATCTAAGACGTCAAAGTTATAAAACCTTCACGATAGAACAAAACGTTTACCGTATACAAATAAACACAATTAATAAATCACGATGTTACAAGCCGTCGGAAATATCTGCGAACCTCGCTGGAATGCGCTCTCTACTTTTTCTTTGTATTATTTGTAAATTAGTAAATAATTTGAATTTTAAATAATGTAAATAATAAGTATTTGTAAATTTCAAGTAGGTACGAGTATCAATAAAAATAAGTACACAAATAAAATATTTTTTATTTTTACATTTAGTTTGTATGACGTCATTAAGCCAGGTTCGCAGATATTTCCGACGACTTGTACTAGTATTGATTTTAGTAGTAGGTACGTTTATCGTAAGCAATATTTTATTTCTATATTGGATGAGTACAAAGCCAATGTGTGTGTTAGTACATCATTTCGCACGAGAAATGATTCGTCCTGGCAATTGAACTTTAAAAAAAACTATACTTTTATAAGTTTGAAATGGATGTCTGGGTGCCTAAGGTGAGTACTGTGTAACACTTTTTAACACCCAATAGAAATGCCATAATGGTTTACAGCCGCCTTATTAAATTACAATAATTTATTTAATTGATAGTTAATAATTAAACATAATGAGCAGTGTTGGCCTAGTGGCTTCAGAGTGCGAAACCAATGGACTTTCTTTCTATGTGCGCATTTAGCATTCGCTCGAACGGTGAAGGAAAACATCTTGAGGAAACCGGCTTGCCTTATATCCAAAAAGTCGACGGCGTGCGTCAGGCACAGGAGGCTGATCACCTCCTTGCCTATTATTAACAAATGATCATGAAACAGATACAGAAATCTGAGACCCAGACCTAAAAAGGTTGTAGCGCCACTGGTTTATTTTTTTTGTAATTAATCATTAAACTACCGAAAATTCATTAAATTTAACCTGACAAATAACTACATCTGAATCGCATAGTAAACTTATAACACATTCTAGGTTACAACAATAAACATACAGTTATATTTTTAACTGGGACATTTCTTGTACTTAATCCATTTTAACAATCTTAGAAAATATTAAAATGAGAACACATTGTAATTAGTGTCGTTAAATATTTAACTGTTGTGAAATATTGTTAAAGTAATCTATACTTGTTATCTGTACTTTGGTAGCTTAGTGGCAAGGCGCGCGACGGTTAACCCTAAGGTCACGCATTCGAACTGAATTTTCTACAAAATCCGTTATTATTCATTGCTCATATGGTGTAAAAAAACATCGTGAGGAAACCAACACGTCGACGGCGTGAATGTATTAGTATGCAATGTAAGCAATGTATGCAATGTATGCAATGTATGCAATGTATGCAATGTATGCAATGTATGCAATGTATGCAATGTATGCAATGTATGCAATGTATGCAATGTATGCAATGTATGCAATGTATGCAATGTATGCAATGTATGCAATGTATGCAATGTATGCAATGTATGCAATGTATGCAATGTAATGTAATGTAATGTAATGTATGTAATGTATGTAATGTATGTAATGTATGTAATGTATGTAATGTATGTAATGTATGTAATGTATGTAATGTATGTAATGTATGTAATGTATGTAATGTATGTAATGTATTATGTAATGTATGTAATGTATGTAATGTATGTAATGTATGTAATGTATGTAATGTATGTAATGTATGTAATGTATGTAATGTATGTAATGTATGTAATGTATGTAATGTATGTAATGTATGTAATGTATGTAATGTATGTAATGTATGTAATGTATGTAATGTATGTAATGTATGTAATGTATGTAATGTATGTAATGTATGTAATGTATGTAATGTATGTAATGTATGTAATGTATGTAATGTATGTAATGTATGTAATGTATGTAATGTATGTAATGTATGTAATGTAATGTAATGTATATAATGTAGGACATCGATCTCAATCTCAATAATGAGTTGTGTACCGCGCGATTCGGATATTGAAAGAACTACATTGAACTTGGATAAGTTTTCGCCATTGTACATTATAAAGCATCCGATGAAAAACACACGAACAATGTAATACAAATGTTTAGTATTGATATTCTTTAAAAAATCAATTTTCTAATAACGTGTGTTCTGTGTTTTCTGTTTCGTGAATGAATAAATAATACTTACGGTTCAACGTGATTCTTCTCTTTAAAGGAAATCATTTTCTGTATTTCATCATTTAGGTTGCAAGTGGACCCTCGAAGCTTCGAAAGGGACTTTTCAGCCTTTTCCGTCTTATCTTGATTTAGCAGGTAGTTCGGTGTCTCAGGAAGGACAAACATACCCAGTAGTGATATTATAGGTACGATAGCACTCACGCCAGCTAAGATGTTCCATGATGTTGCACTGCCGATTATATACTGGAAATTTAAAAAATATTTATTAGATAGCTTTGAGATACAGCATGGAGCAGACAGTTTTCAGCTTCTATTAGGCGAGGTGCACACCCTACGACCTTTTATTATTTATCCGGAAATAGATTCGTAATCGGTATTCATATGAGCGTTTGACTAAACCATAATGGTGCTTAAAAAAATAATGAGCTTCTCAATTAAATCTAATATATAAAATTCTCGTGTCACAATTCATCGTGGCTCGACCGATTCTTGTGAATTTTTTTATCAGTAAGTCTGAGAATGGCTACTATATATATTTCTAACCCCTAAGTGATAAGAGGTGTCTACCCCAAAAAGTTTTTTTGCTTTTATACACATACAACATACAAAAATACATACAACCCTTAATTTTCACTCCTCTACGATGAACCCCTATTTTTTATTATAGCAGATAATTATTTGTATTACCCACAACATAACTCCGTAGTATGGGGACTAGTGTTGGATGAATTTTGTGACAACCATATTGCTCTCATGAATAAAGTTTTATTATTATTATTATATATTTTTATCAGCCAGGCGTGCTCCTATGTTCATAGCCTACACCTTCTATAAAGTAGGATGCATACAAACGCCTACCTATAATAAAATACTGTGGCTAATATTTTATTGATACCTTTATTTGTTAATCGTAAATAATCTATTAAAAAATGAAATAGCAGTTGTAATGGTTTGGAAGATGATTAGTTAAAAGCTTATACAAAATAACCATCAAGAAAATATATTTTGAATACTGGTATAGACTATTAACAAATAATTATTTAACTCTTGTAGACAAAGATAATTATGATCGTGAACTCTTAGCAAATATTTAATTTGTTTTCCTGACTTTGTAGGCGATATACTTTGTACTTTCTCTAACAATAATATTGGGGGTTTTACATATCTTTTACGACGTTTTTAGGTGTGGTCGGGTATTTATTTGTGGGGCCTGTATTGTGGCTTGCTTAATATCATTTTTCTTAAATGGGGAAATGCATTACCCCCCGCGGCGCGTAGGCTTGGGGCGGAGGGTTATCTCAAACCTTGGGGGGTTACGGTATCTCAAATCGCACCGTCTGGGGGGTTGCTTGAGGAGGTCGGCTAGTGCTTGCAGAGATGCATAAGCATCTCTTCTTTTAGACGCATGTAACTTAATCTGATACCAGGACCAGTCAGAACCAACACATGACTGAAATAATATAGCCTTTCTTTAATATGAATAGACAATAACATCTTACTGTTGTTAATTTAACTGTAGCGTATTTCATACTACGAGCGAATTAAAAGCGGGCCAAGCGTTATCACCACGTGACTCAAGTCACCAGTCAACGTTGACGGGATTAGCATAACTTTGCTTAAGAACCCAGTACTTATTTTACAGCAGTAATATCGTAAGCGGTGGATAGTGAAATCGAGTAGGCCTAGGCCTTGTCGTACATACCTGGACCTAATCCAGGAAGTAGGTCGTAGAGAAGAGACAAGTTAAAAGCACCCATAGCCGACGCGCATACATGGTGAATGTCATGAAAATGGATAGAGAGAGGTGTGTCAGGACTGTAGTAAGTGGAGATCCATAGTCCTGCCTGCCCCTTCGGGAAAAAGACGTGATAATATAAATATGTATCGTAATACGTCTTATTATCTTATAGGTTTTGCTGGCTTAGTTAGCCAGGACTTACGTACAACGGACCTATTGAGCGTCAAAGTGCGGAAAACGAGTCCACAAACCATAACCATAACCATACGTCTTATAGGCTCAACACAGGGACAACGTACAACGTACCTAACTTATGGAGTCAAACAAAATAAAAACCTAACAAGCTTCGACTAAGCATGCCTGCACGTTTGATTAGACAAATGGACATAATCCTAACTTATCATGTTTGTCAAAACGCACTGTCGTTTCGACTCGCGTTTCACACCACCGACACTTGACAAAACAGATTAACAAGGTCATAGCACCCTGGTCCAATTAGAAGCCTTTACATCAACAAGTGTCGTAAACAAACATTGACATTGTATACAATTATTATTAAATTACTATCACGACGTCACGTGAATACATGTCTAACATCGCTTATCAAATAAATACCTCGACAACAATTAAATTAGCGCATTGCAATATTTATACTAAGTAATGAACATGAAAACATATACTCAAAAACTACAAATTAAAACTATGTTAATCTCTTTGGACACATGGATTAATGCAAAAATTAAATATAACATTATTTTTGTATCACGGGTCTTATTAAGACAAGAAAGTTAATGGAGGCGGGTAGAAGCCTTTTTTAATACATCAAATTGTCAAAACTGATTTATGTAGATATATTTCTAAAAAAATTAATAAATCAATGGCGCTACAACCTTTTTAGGTCTGGGCCTCAGATTTCTGTATCTGTATCATGATCATTTGTTAATCTAATAGGCAAGTAGGTGATCAGCCTTCTGTGCCTGACGCACGCCGTCGATTTTTTGTCGTCTACGTCTAAGGCAAGCCGAAAAATGAATAAAAAATATTGAAAAATGATCATGAAACAGATTCAGAAATCTAAGGCCCAGACCAAAAGAGGTTGTAGCGCCACTGATTTATTTTATTTTTTAAAATAGATTAACCAGATGAAAACAGAAAACCAAAATGGGCGCATAATCTTTGTCGTTAATCAAATTTGTCACTTTGTTGGCAAAGCGATTATGAATTCACGACATTTTCGCGAGAAATTGATTTATCACAATTGTTTGCATTTCGTGAATTTCAAATATACATCTTAATTTAATTATGAAGTCGTTGTAAATATCATTTATTCGTGATATTTGCACGTATCTTTGCAATTATTGTTGTTCACGTTATAGTCGCACAATAGAAGTATATCTTCATCTGGCTAATATGCCGTCGGCCTACACCCTGTCTTCTTTGCCGATGAGTAGGGATGTCTACCACTTCAAATTTAATGACGTGGAATAAGTAATACCTGTATCTTATATTCCATAATAAACATATTTTATTATTTTTTATGGTTTAAAAAATGTATCGGATTTGACATACCATATTCAAACTTAGCGTGAAACAGAAGGAGGTAAAGATCATATTACGTTTGTTTATATTATACTAACTAGTAAAAAAAATAACCATAGAAGATCATTAATTTCTGAATAAACAACTGATTAAACCTTTTGCATAGTTAAATTTATAATAATTTCAAGATTCTTTTCTGCCAATTGAAAACATGTATTACCAAAAGTCGAACCCAACACCAACTGGTTCACGCCGTCTGCGTGTTCAAGCAATGGCTATAAAAATGAATTCCATAATGGAAAATTTTCTAAATTAGGAAATACGTAGACAGGGCGTGATAATGACGTAACTCTCATAAATCATAATCAATTTTCGCGTTTAAAAATAACCACATCATCAATCAGTTCTTACGTAAATCTCTGAAATTTTAGATTTAAAAAACAAACTAGAGTATCGCGAGAAAATACTTTCGTATAGAAAACGTTTTCTCTTGTAACTTGTAAGAAACATATTATAAATCAATCAACTAGCATTTCCATTTGACCAAACGCTTTTGCTTAGTATAACACTTGGGACTTATTGTAACAGGTTACATTTGCTAGATACACCTAAACGTTGTTACATAATATATAATAATTGTTTCAGAAAATCAAAGAAGTTGTGTAAATTATTTAACGTTACGAAAAGCTTAATAAGAATCATTGCATCCTGTAATGAAATATTTTAATACGTTATGTTTCTGGCTAATGTTGCAAGCATTCATATTCAATATACAGTCTATATATTAATGAAATTTTCGCTTAGCTTTTCGCAACTATTGACATTCTCTTGACGAATAAAAAAACTTCTTATACTTTTTCATATAAAACCTGTTTCAATTTTGATATCGTCGGGACTAAAATGCTTAGTTTAGTGTGTTCATTTTATAAACCAAACTAGCATAAAATAATAAACCAAATCTTTATTACGTCTATAGGAAAATCGATTTCTGTATCTTTATAGATTCGATCGTAAATGACCGTTCAAAGGCTAGCCTAGTTATTGGACCTTCTCATAATTCACCTGAACCGTAAAATAATTTACTGTTACAGTATTTAGAACACTATTTCTCCTAATACAATGGACTTGTGACTGGTTTAATAAATTATTAGTCTAAAACATGACACGAAAGAGTAATAACTAATAGGGATTAGACATACATGTCACACTTCAGTGCAAATGTGTGAGATAACTATTACGCGTCATAGGAAATCCTAATGAAAATAATTGTGCAAATTACTGAAACAATAAAAATAACATTAAACTCATTGTTATGACAAGTGATCACTCGACTGTATATTATATTATCTATTTTACGGTATTGTGTAAAGAGGAAAGTTTTGTTGTTTTGAAAAAGAAAATTCGATTTCTAAAAAGAAACCATATTGAATAACATTCGTATATTCAAAATAAAAAAAGGAATTTCCAGCCGTGCGAAGCCTGTTCAGGCTGTAAATTATCACGTGTTTGAGTCCTGTAACGAGTCAATATGTATTGACTTTTATTAGTTCCGGAAATCGATTTTCTAACCATAAAAATCGGGGTTTACAATAATACAGTGTGTGCCAGATATATTGTTTTATCTTTTTTATTCATTTTCTTATCGGTCAATAGATCAATGTTTTTCACAGAGTCGAATATTATTTGATTATACACAGTACATTAATAGATTCTAATTCTTATACTGTCAACAGGAGCTCAACAGTCAAGGCGCTTATTAGGAGAAAAGGCTTTCTCCTTCAGCCCTTTCATCTTTAACAACTTTCATAAAATCAAAATTTTCACTAACGATACAAAATCTATGCTGAAACGGAAAATATTCATATTGAGCAACAAAAATTTAATATAAAATGCAAGTGTTATGTAGAAATTATTATGTCAATTACCGTTAATATGTCAAATGGAAGAGACTGCCCACGACACAAGGAGTCCTAGTTTAGGGGCTAGTGCACTTTTTTCTTAACTAAATGCCCTTTTTTATTATGTTTTTAGGAAAAATGGCTAGTATAATTATCCAGTAATCTCACCACTATCAAAACACCAGTAGAAACGCCGACAGACGCCATGGCTCCTAACATTCCTCTCAAATGAGGCTGAGATACCTCGCAAGTATACACCCTGGCTGGGGCACCCACCATACCAGACCCGAGGCCCACCAACAACCGACCTGTAAGGAAAATTGTAACACTTAGTCTTTGGCCATTTTATATAATACTAGCAGACCGGCCAAGCGTTGCTGTGGTTAAGGTTTTTGTTATATTACATAGTAGCAAACTATTCAAGGGAAACGGTAGGAGAACACCAGTCATGGGGACCACCATGCTTTTTTGGTGGTTATGCCATTAAATTGTAGCTTATGTGAAACGTTGGTACTTTCAACACAGCGCCATCTGCTAGAATTGTGACTATCAAATAATAAACAAATATTTCGCAATAAAATAATATTGCGGGTATAAATTGAGATGTAAGCTATCCTATCTTTTAAGTTGGATCAAACTACAAACGGTGTGCAAATTTGATTGATATCGGATCGGTAGTTTAGGAGTCCATAGCGGACAAACAACGTGACACGTAATTTATATATAGATTGATCCTTTTTTACACGAGTTAAAAGTTCTTCCTTCTCAAAACTTCGGCACTCATGAGTAAATAATGTAAAAAATCGCTTTTAAATGCATTTCGTAAGTCAAAAAGGCATCAACGCAATGAATTACTATACAAACACTACATTGGATTATTTTAAAACTCCATAACTATTATTCGTAATTTACATAAATAATTGGACGCTTAATTTGTTTGCTGCACTCACCAATATAAATCATTATAACATTCTGGGCGAAGGATATCGTGATCCATCCTATTATGAGAGGCACTTCAGTAAATATGAGAGTTCGTCGTCTGCCTATGTTGTCCATCAAGTAACCACTTAGAATACAGCCTATTGGTGTACCCACTGCGCTTAAACTAGCTGAAAAAAGTTATCAAGGTAAGAATGACAAAAAGAATCAATGTAAGAAGACAGAACAGAAATGTTTTTCGAACTTACATTAACTTATTTAGCACCTCATAAATCGCAAAATAATGTAAACATTCAATCATTCATTAATATACCTACTGCAAATACGCATTAAGAACGCGAAAGTTTGTAAGTATGTTTGTTACTCTTTCACGGAAAAACTAGTAAATGGATTTTAATGAAACTTTACAATAATACAGCTTTTACATATGAATAACACATACGCTACAGTTTATAAATATATTGTGTGAATTGTCCAAAATATTAAGTAAGTAGGAAAAAAATTACCATCCGCGAGGTATTCTGGCGTGCGATGCCAAACCCGCTAGAGTTACACATATGTAATGTATGATGGAAATGTTTATCTTAAATAGATTCTACAAGAAAGCCCGGCACAGTATATATATATGTCTTATGTGTAAGCCATTATAGCCAAAATAGTGAACCATAACTACAATAAAAATTGATAATTTATTTCTTATGCAAATTTGGTAATTATAAATTGATTCCTAAATGAAAATAGATACTTTTATCGCTTCTTGTATTTAAATTAGATAAAATATGTCTTTCAGACTACATCATCTGGACAATTATTATTTTAATCCTGCGCAGATGAAGTCGCAGGCACCAGCTAGTACAAATAAATTAAATAAAAGGGATAAAAATAATAATGATATTCGATATAGACTAGGCAGTAAGGCTAGACTCCCTGTAAATATGTTTGTATATATTAATTAATTGAAAATATATGCTTACCAATCCAACTGGCCTCACTTTCAGTAATCGTCAGAGTTGAATTACCACTCTTCAGTTGCGGCAGCGCCGTCGCGGAAAAACCAAACGCCATACCAGTATTAATAGTCCCCAAGTTGACAATCAAAGCCGCGACTATTTGCTTAAAAGCCTTCCCTCTTCCTTCTTTCCCTGGTTTCTCCTTTGGAGGCTTTTCTGGCGTTTTCGTAATTGTAGCTTTGACTCCATTTTTAATGAAGGGCGTGGCATCGCTTCTGAAATGACAGATTTCCGTTAAGAACTGAGTTTAAAAAGCCGTTTTAAGACTGGCAACTGAATACTTAAAAAGTTTTGCACAGCAGTAGCCTACATTTAATTATTTAAAAATTAGTAATAGTTACGAGAAGTAGATATGAAAAGAGCAGAATTACGACTCGTAGCAATCACCATTTTTTAATCGGATATAGCACAGTGGTAGCAAAATAATAATTGTCAACTACATAGCAAATTATAAGAGATCCTAATAAAAAAGCTTAACCTATATAGCATCTAAACACGCTAACTATAAATAAATGATTTAATTCCATAGCGATACGATAAGCCTATATACATATATCCTACCTCCAGGGAGGGCTGATAACTACAGTTTTAACGTTTCACAACCCGGACATACAACGATCGATATTTAAGCCTTGACTTGTTTAAGCTATCGCGGAATATGAAAAGTATTAAGAATATCCATAGCGCAAAATCACCTGCATCATGAGGATACCCCACATACACACTTTCACGCACTTACCCTCACTTCTACACCATTACAAAACACAGCCAGAATAGGTATTACTTATTAATGTATAGAATATTTTTTACTGTTTTATCCCTTTTGTAATTGTTTGAACCTTTTTCTAAATATTATGTATAACATCTTTGGTTATATTTTTAGTGTAATAAATATTGTTTGTTATAATATATATTTTTTGTTAGTTGTAGGAATACGAAATAAATAAACGTTCTTTAACCACCTTTGCCATCTTTGTGAGAGTTGTATTTTGATTTAGTCATAAGAGATCAATAAATAATCTTCCTTACAATTTAATTTCTTACATATTATACAAAAATGTCTTATTTTATAACTCCAATCACGGGACACTTAATCTTTTAAGATTACAGTCCTATAATAGAAACCAGATAAGTCTTCGCATATTAATCGAAAGTATGTATCTTGAATTCGAGATAGAAGGACGAAATAAAATATCTAATTATATATTTTGTTTGAGATTTTCTCAGGAAGAGCCCGGGTTTTATTTCGTTTTGTTTCTTTCTGTCAAATTGTAATTACATTGTAATAAAAAGATACATGATAGAATGGTTTAATTAGACAGTTTATATTAAGATTTATTTATTAACATTGCACCGTATTTTTTATACTGTCGGTAAACACAATTTTAACCAAAAATAATATGGCATCAAGTAAAATATATTGCAACGCATTCCCAAATGAAACCATTTTATAAGAAAATAACCCTTTTATTAACAAAATAATAGGTAAATTAGAACCTCAGATCAGTCACACGTCAGATGCAAGGACCTTAACACGTGGTTAATATGCAGACATAACAACACATTCACAATTCAATAAAATTAATTGATCCGCAAGTAAATATGACTCAGAAAGGTTATCCGTGAGGTCAACTGTCAACACCCCCAACAATTATTGTTTGTCCCGTGACTGATAAGGTTTGGTATTCGCTTCCGGGAAATAAATAATATCAAAACTACCTAGTGCTACGAGCCGTTGAAGTTAATTGTACCAGTGAAAGATGTTTTGTTTAAACTGTTTTATACGCTAGTTTGATACTTAATTGATATAAAACTCGACAATGCCATGCAGTTCTTCCTTCGAAAACTTCGAAACTCGAAACATAAGTAAATAATGTCGCTATTAAATGCATTTTGCATATCAAAACCCAATCAATGGAATTATGTTACAAAAACAACATTGGATTATTTTAAAATTCCACGAACGTACATACGTACTAGTGCTACGAGCCGTAGAAGTTTATAAGTAGGGCAACGACAATCAAATACTGTCTATAGAAGAAAATGGCCCTTCACTTAAGTCTTATTTAATAAACGCAGTGCACTAGCTTGGTTAAGTTTAACGGTTGGATAAGCTTGAGATTTTATTCAGTTATCAATCAAATAGCGCAAATATTTTATTTGGATTGTTTTTTTTACCACTGTTAGAACTGATGAATTTAATTCCATGCAGTTAATTTTTTCAACTGAATTTAAAAAGACCAATTTTCCAAAATTATGCCATAAGTTATTTATAATTCTCGCTTTTTAAATCAAAGTATAGTTAGTAACAATTTTGTTAGTAGTAGTTATTAAGTATAAAGAATGCTATGTTTTCCTGTTAAAGGTGTGAGTTTTATCGTTATTGTTGTTTGTTTCTAGATATAACATGTTATTGTAATGTATATGAATGTAATTCTGAATTAAATTTTGCATAAAAATTATATGGAAGACACAAGTTTTTAATTTCATTAAAATGATTAATTTCACGCTGTTCCTTTCTTTTAAAATACTATGTCTCTTAAGAAGAGTTATTATTCTTTCGATTGGCATCATAAAAGTAAGGGTGTTTTTTTACATTTAAGTCGGATCGATTCCCAGACGAGGCAAGTAATTTTTAGAAATTCTTGAATGCCGAATTACTAACTTTTAAAAATAATATAAAGTCTTCTTTCAGTAAAATACCCTATCTACGGTATTTAAGGTTCCTTCATGTCCCAAAATTTTGGGACACCTGTATTTATTTATTTTGGTCATAATTGTGTTTGACAACCGTATAAAAAATACGGTGAAATGTTAATAAATGAATCTTAATTTAAACGAAATCAGTCTAATTACACAATTCTATCACTGTCTCTTTTCATTACAATGTAATTACAATTTGACAGAAAGAAACAAAACGAAAAACAGTGCAATCGCTCTGATTAAGTTAATATTAAAAAGGGCATAGGTCTCCAAATCTCTTTTTAATTCTGTCCAGTTACTTTGTAGTTTAAGAAGCAGCAGAGAGCTTATCTCAATCGCGTACTCCCAAACTAATAAACACGTCAACGATTTCACAATCATTATCACGTATCATTAATCTGTATGTAAATTTATTTTTCTTTATTGATGTTTAACTTTTGTTCTTACACACAAGAAGAATTCTATTGACTGATTTCAAATTAAACCACGAGGTCACACATACTTTAAAAATAACAAATGCGATAAGATATAATAAAATAGTTAAGATTATTTGCATATATTTCATTATGTCACAAGGTCCAACCCCTACTATGCAAATCTAATAATTCTTGATTAATTACATTTACCTTGGGACACTTTTCATATCATCATAATGTAAACACGTTATATGTAAGCATAAGAAATGAATTAGACATAGATTCATGTACTAGGTTCATTTTGGCAACAATAATTGTGTCATTTAATTAAATATATAATTTTATAAAGCATATGATCACGTGTATAATTATTTCATCAGGAGCGAAGAATGACACGACTGACTAACAAAAATATTAAAAACTCAAAAACTACAACCTCGATACAATTATAAAAACGTATTCACTATTCTTTTTTTGCTTCCATTTTATACTTGTACTAGCTGCCCCCGCGAACTTCGTTTCTACTTAATGCCTAGCCTACCTATTTAGTATATACCAACATGAAACATTTTGCTATGCTACCCCAGAAACAGTTCGATTTTCTGGAATGAAAACTTTTTAGGTTTTTCTGTGATTTTTCTCTATATAAACCTAACTAACAAATAAAAAATAGGGGTTGATCGTAGAGGGTGGATGAAAATTAAGGGTTTTATGTATTTTAGTATAATGTATCATAAAAAAATAAAAACAAAAAATGTTGTGTCAAAAATAAAACATAATTTTTTTTGGGGTTGACACCCCTTAACATTTAGGGGTAAAATAGAAATAAGTCGATTTTCAAACTTACTGAAAATGCATTAAAAAATTTATATGAATCGGTCGAGCCGTTTTGGAGGAGTATGAGAACGAACACGAGAATTTTATATATAAGATAGACAAACATAGCAAATCATCTTAATACTATAGGAAAACATATCATTTTAACCTAGTACAAGATTGTTTAGCTACGGTCATTGTAGATCAAACTCAAAGGAAATGAGCCAAAATGATGGTCATTATCAATTGTTCTAATTAGACGATAAACCGACAACTTGCAATCCGATTACGTATATATTGCGTATAAACGTCATTGGGAAATTTAACAACTCATAGGGACACACAACGTTGAATGAAGCCGCGGCAGATCGACTCCCATTACTCCAGAATATCTAATAATAGATATCGTTTTCTAAATATAGTATAAGATCCCGATATACAACGACCTTCACCGAGATGCTTATTTAATTAAACGTATTTTATATTTAATTTAATATGTCAATAAATATAATCCATATGGGTTGCCTAGCAAATTTCAGTCCAGAGTATGTTTAATTAATATTTAAAAAAAAAATATTTCTTTATAATTTGCATGTAGTAATTTTGTTTAATTTTTTTTCAATCAATATTTTTAATCAGGGTAGTATTATATATGTATCACTATAACTTTCTTTTTTTACTAAAGATGTATATATACTTTAGTGTCACATAAAAAATATACACATAAATAATTAATTGATTAAAAACAACCTAACGTTTGCATATTCTATGGGCTTCATACTTTCGATTGGTATAGAATTTATCTAATAATCATACCGGTGAAATGTTTAAAAAAATTTTTTTTTTAATATTAATTAAAATACTCTGGACTGAAATTTGCTAGGCAACCCATATGGATTATATTTATTGACATATTAAATTAAATATAAAATACGTTTCATTAAATAAGCATCTCGGTGAAGGTCGTTGTATATCGGGATCTTAGACCAATATATGTATTTAGATTAAATGCTATGCCATTCCTATTTTTATGTAACAATCAGCCAACCATTTCCTGGCGCGATTTTTAATAATTCTAGAAACAAGTGACAATCGTAGTTCTTGTTCCGCAGACGTAAACAATGAAAGATCTCGGTGTTATTATTTCACAAAGACAAATTATATTGCAATGAAAACAATTATGCAACCAATATACCATAATTTATCCCAAACTGATGTGTGTCGAGTAGCGAAACTAATAAACTTGAAATTTCACGTGCAGTTTGCAAAACATTTACAAAAAAACTTTGTGTACAAACTACGAACAAAATATATAATAGCCTTATACATAACTTACACAGAACCATAATAAGGCACACCATCGCTTGAAGTGCTTGCCATGCTGCATCTGATAATAATCACACTTAAATAACTTTTCGGCTTTATTCAACCTTATTAATATAACGAAGCCGAACTATTCATAAACGTACAGTTCAAAATCAATCACTTCACTGTCTTCGAACGTAAAACTTCATAAAACCTGTTCTGTATCCTTCCATCAGTGTTAATACAAATTAACAGGAGACACAAAAGCCAGCATTATTAAATAGTAATTAAAACGAAAATATATCTCAGTAGAAAACCCACTACTAGTATAAACGAAGATCTAACATGTTCTTTATATGTCGATATATACAGTACGTTTATGAATAACCATTATATAACAAAACACATTTCTTAATAATCAATGTCGCACTTCTAACTTCATCTTCGTGAACCGATTAGTTTAGAACTACCCAATAGTTTAGGTCAGACACGGTTAAATCAATATTGACAACTGATAAAATGCAGATAGACCGTTCAATTGCTTATCATAAATGCGTGTAGGGCATTGTAAACAATTCCTACCTACAATGTAACTTTAAAAACTAAAAACTTAATCATGTACAATTTAGACACATATTTCTGAGTGATACGTTGTATTTATTTATTAAAGGTCACCACATCATACATAATGCTATATCTACAGTATATGTTACTAGTTATTTAATCTAAAATAATAACAATTATGGCCGACAGAAATTTTAAATATATTAAATTTTTTTGTGCTTATTGGTAGACAAAAAATTACTAGTAAAGCAGCGGATTAGGTAATAGATAGACAATTAACAATTCTTTTAATTGATCAGCCCACTACCGAATATGTCAAGCTCTAGATAAGTAATGTTTATTCTGTTATATTCGCGAAGAATTGGAATGAGCGGTGCCTGAACTCCTAGGTTGACCGTATAAAATACGTTGTGTTTTATAAGTACTAGTAGACCATTTTATACAGAATCTGTAAACATATCAATTAAAAAACATCTGTCCAAGGATGCCGTGAATATTGGTTGTATGAACACATTCAATATGGAATTTCACTTGTATCACTGTCGTTTAACCGATTATATAGATAATACGTGTTATACATAATTTTACATAATTGTAATATGAGACTAGACGGCAACCAGGTGGCTTCTAGATCACGCAGTATTTTTATGTTTTTATACTAGCGACTTTGATTTCCTCTAATTTATGCGAATTTTCATATTTTAGGCATTTGACGTTAAAATTACTAAATTGTATATACAATAGAATGAAATGTAACACCCTCTGGAAATATAACAGTATTCCAATCCAGAACCTGTACTTAACATAGGAAATCACTTTTATCCAAAACAGCACACTGCTTCGTAAAGGCAGTCTATACACTCGCCAGTAACTGGCATTATCCATGGATGGTACACATCCAGGGGCGGCCCATATCCTTAAATCGTATATAAATATTAAGACGCAATTAGTGAATACAGAAACCATAATGGGAATGCAAAACTTGAAAAAAATCCAATAACATTAATGTTAGAAGCCAATAATCACGAAAAAAACTAAATTTAACGAATTTTAGCCGTATTAAATATTAAGCGTCTAATTACTTTCAAAGGTTAAGTATACACTTGATGGCTGGAAGTCTTCTACAGTCCCCTATCTAGGTATTTCCTTTGGAAACTAACGAGCTGTGAAATGCGCAGTAGAAGAGTTCCCTCCAAATTAAACAGAAAGGCAATACTGCCTAAGACTTGTTGATGAGAGGTCATATAAAAAAAATAATTAATATTTTACTATACTCTCATAAATACTAGTTATCTGTACCTGTTAACAATGTTATCAGTATCACGTGCTAACTAATAGATAATTGTTTTAAATTAACATGTTAAATACGTCAAGTTCTTTTGTATTAAAACTAAATATAACGATATATATAACTTAATATGTATTAAATATATCAACGTAGGTAATAGCATATATTTGAAATATATATTAAGTATACAATTATACCTTTCTATGAAAATAAATAGAACATAATTTCGTAATGCCGTGGTCCGATCATAAAATTTATCAATTTGTGATGAATGGCCAAACGTTTCATGAAATTGACAATTTAATTTGGCCAGGATCTATTAATCATCTTCTAGGCCTTTAACTATCTAATATCAGTAAAAACGTTAATTAAAATAAATTCCACACAAATCCTATCCTCGAGAATATTTATTATTATTTTTACATTGATTTCCTTTAAATATTTTTATTTTTAAATTTGATTTTAGAATTTGGATTTAACTTAAATAATTTAAATAAAATATTGATTTGTGGAGTCAAATATAATGGGTTTCCTTTTTAAGTTATTAAAAATAATAATTCTATTTGTTTTATTAGATTTTTACGGCTTACAGTTTATCAATCATCTTGCTGATTCAAACAAAATTAGATATTTTAAGATAATGTCGCCCAACAACAATTGTTTTAGAAAGCAAAGAAATCCTCTCCCAAATAATCATGATGAATAAATAATACCTAAACACTTGAAACTTCGCGTGATACTTTGATGTGTGATAAGATAATATAACGTTTCGAAATTGGCTGGTTTAGCGTTTGTAGGGTCATGTTAAATAAAAAATACCTCGTATTAAATATAAATATTACAAAGCTTAAGAGTTTCTGTTGTACAGTCTAATCACTGGTACTACTGGATCGATTACGATCAAATTGATACACCTGAAATCACAAGGTGCTTCCATTTAAATACCAAGGACATAAATTCTTAAGGAATAAAACGGAATAAGATGTCCTTAAAAACAATAAATAATTTGCGACAAATTAAAAAAGGTTTCTAACGAAAACAAACGTGATTTCAGAAATGTATTCAGAATTGAAAACCGCAAAGAATACCTCATTAAGGATACTTAATGTTACAAATAACTTAAAATTCAACAATAATGAAGCCAGAATGAATATCTATATTTGAATAGCATTTGTAAATATGTTAGTTATTTTGTATTAAGGGTTAACATTACTAAGCACTGACTTAGACATTAGTTAGTAGAATTAATAGCTTAATCCTACCTTTGACCGAAACCATATAACAACCTTTATAGTGATAAAGATTTATCGTGTACGCGGAAGTTGCTTATAGCTTTAGTTTTACACATTCATGAGGAAACTATATGAACACTCGAAAAAAATTGTTAGCTTTAAACGTAAATTTTGGCATATACAGTCAAAACCGTTTACGACATCGTTTAGAACAAAATACCGGTTATATTGACCAAAATCAAAGGTCCCGGCGGGTATTAGGTACTTAATAACGTCATCGGCTGTTACGACTATCGGTTTTTACGACCAAATAATATAAGTAATCCCTTCGATGTCGTTAATATAGATTTTGACTGTAGTTGTATGCTTGACGGTTCTAAGTGACTCCTTCGATACAAAAAGAATTGGTTGTCTGTAAAGTTTGTTTACGGGCGAAATTTTAAGTAATAACGTCATAAGAAAACATTGATAAAAAATTGCATATTTTTATGAATTAAATTCAATTATTGTTACTAAATTATCATTGTTTTGAATAAAAAAAGGAGTTAATTGAAAATATTTTTTTGCATTGGTTAATTCAAATTATACAAATTAACAACTTAAGATAAATGCGTCACAAATCAAACGCTGATCGTGTCCTCTCAATCGCTTGTACTGCGCTCTCGCTTGTGCAAGCGGAACGTGACAATGAAGCTCTGCTCAGGTGGAACGTGAAAATGAGTCATATCAGTTCATCGATTTATAAGATGTTATCACGTCAAAATGTCCCCTTGTGGTGAAGTCGCATGGATGATCTGTTAAGCGCTGCGCCTTCTAAGTTCTCATGTAATTTTCACACGTGTATGTCCTCTTTATATATTATATTAATATTTGATTGTCCTCATTTTAACGTGTGTGATGTTTGAGAGTATAAATAAAATAAAAACATTTAATGTAGGAATATAGTTTGATGAATTTAAATTCCGTTTAATGCAAATATCCCCATTGGTTTCAATTACTACCCGTTTGTGTTTTATTTAAATGTACACTAGGAAATACAAATGTGTAGTATTAATACTACACAGAACGTAAGAATACGTTTTTGAGATACCGTAATTGTCATGTGTCGACTCTGAAGCTTACCTAAGAAGTTAATAAAAATAAATAATAAATAAATAAAAGAACACAAACTAATTAGTTTTACGAAAGACATAAATGAACTTAACATTAAAGGAAAAATTCTACGAAAGACTAGGCGGTATAGTCGAAAATAAAATTAATTTGTAGATCAAGGAACTTTAATTTTAAAAATTACAATATTGTATTCGCGGGGCGTAAGTCATATCAAAAACAATTAAACCGTCAAATACCTTTATCAAAGTACTTATGACTATCAATTTTTCATGATAACGAGTATTGCATATTAAAGATATTGTCAAGTAGAGATCATAAATATCGCCCGTGTTCAACATTTCGTGCTTAATCCCAATAGATATCCCTTTATTTAAGAATTACGAACTTGCATTACGCACTTTATTAGCATTTAATAATATTATTAAATAATAAAACTTTATTCATAACAGAAATGATCTAACGCTAATCCGTGTTGTGGGTAACAACTAGATTACAATTATTCCCTGGTACATGGTGCGTTTTGAATTTATTTTTTTTAAAGAAAAAATTGTCCTTGTTTTTCAAAATATAATGTTACAAAAGTCGTGTAAGAATTTAACTATACGTGATGTAGGTATATGTATGTGTGTACGTATTATACACTCTATATTTGAGAGTGCCTGATAGTTAAGTTTAGTCTTAATCTTGTATTATTTATTAGACATAGACATAGACATAGACATAACATTTATTACAAACAAAAAACACACACATAAACACACAAAATAACAATACTTAAAGAAAACATAAAATTAAATAGAATAAAATTAAAAATTCAAATTAAGAAATTTTCTTTTGCCATTCGGTTCGCTTCCAGTGTGCAATGTGTGTGTACTGTG